CCCCCTGGTGGAGGAGCAGTGGAACTGCAGCCTTATTTCCGCCTCCCTCAGACTTATTTCTGCAAATTTTCTATTTTGTTTTATTATTATTTTTCTATGTTTTGTATTTTCCAACACAGAGTCAACGCAGCTGTCCGCAGGCTCTGTGACAGAGGCCCACATCTTTTCCACTCATCAATTATTGAGCCTGTTTGTAAATAATGGAGATGCGACAGACTTGGAAATAACTCAGCAAACACTTGGTGTCTGTCTAGGATTTCTCTGGCCGGAAATCGGATGGATTAATGGAGACAAAAGTCCATCTGATGCTGGCTCTTTGGGCTCCTGGGGGGGGGGCCGACCAGGTCATCCAGATGTGCTTCAAACAGCAGTCGGTGGGCCTGCGTTTAGTGCCCCCCAGACACAAACACCGGGGGGGAACCAGGTTCCGGGTGGGGGCGTTATTCTTAGCTAACCTGTCTCTGCAGGGTGGTGTTATTGGTATTTGTGTCAGCCTGCTGGCAGCTTAGTTTTACGGTAAGAGGGAGAAAAAGAAGGCTGAAATTTGTAAACCTGCTCGTCCTCCTGCATGGACGCGGCCAGCGGCAGTCCGTCCGCCAGCCTGGCGATCATGGTCAGCAGCACCATCTTCCCGAAAATGTTCCGCTGGTTCCTCTCGACCCGGAAAACGGCTCGGCGAGCTGGCACCGGCTCTGTCTGTCAACCTGGAAAGTGACAACACCGCAGGTCCGACGCGCTGAGCTGGCCGGAAACGCTAGAGCTTTGTGCGTCATCGCCAAATCCTGCCGTCCTCCGCGAGGCGGAACCAATGCGATCACGCAAACCGTTCCGCCTTACCGGAAGTACGATCTTCCGTCACTTAATCGTTTACTTTATCCATAACTGGATTAGTAGGTATCTTTGTTTTTGTGTTAAGATGGTTTTAGAATAGATTTCACCTTACAAATGGAAATAATAAGCACCCCCCCCAAAAAAAACTCACACACATCATAAATGTATTTTCTCTCATTTCTCATTCCTTTGGGTTTCTTAAGCTGTAAACCATAATCAGCGATATTAAAACAATAAAAGGCTTGCAATATTTGAGTTGATTTGTAATGAATCCAGAATGTATGACATTGCATGTTTTTTTATTGCATTACAGAAAATAAAGAACTTTATCACAATATTTTAAATTTTCTGAGAGAGTCCTGTACTTTTCTAGTTATGTTTTATTTAATTGTTATGTTTTCAGTGTCATTCTCTGATTTTAATTTGCAAATGAATCCATCCACACAACTGTCACCAATACTAATTCCAAGAACCATTCTAATTTTTGCTTTTCCAGTTAATTGTCTTGAGATTCTGACAATTCACAATAAAAATCATACCAGGGGATATTGCATATAATCTCCAAGTAAACCTCCTCTGAGGCAATAAAAATAATCTTCACAGAAATAAGATTGCAAATGACCTCACAGGCAGATTTCCTGAAAGTTCCACAACTTAACACGAGATGTAAAAAAAAAACCATTTCACAGTTCAGCGCACGACTGGAAGTGGTCATGAACCAGCTCACTGTAGTACAATACTGGAGAAAAATAACAGCTTTCATCTACATCCATTCAGCTTTAGGGTTACTCAGCACCTTACACACCATTCAAACTCCACTGCTGACTTAAAGGGGCAAAGGTCAACGGGAAAACAGTGTTTGGATGTTGCGTGGGAAGTGGAGTTTGCTTCCTTGGAGCGCGCACTAATCAGTTTAACCTCTGAGATGAACTCAGTTCCTGTTTAACAGCCAAACTGTTCTTGTTGCATAAACCAGAGGTTAATTCCTGAATGATACAAAGAGAAACAATAAATACCAATCATGACCCCAGTACAGAACTCTGCTTGTGAAATTCTGGACATCATGCCCTGCTCAGACATCTGACTCTTGAACCAAATAGTTGAACTCTGGGTCAAACTTGAGAAATGTTCATTTCTTTTTCTTAAAGGAAATTGTGACTATTTATCAACTAAAAGTGGCCAAGAAAGAATTTGAAACATCCATCCATCCATTTTCTTAACCGCTGATTCCCTAACGGGATCGTGGGGGAATTCGAAACATGTCCATAATAAATTATTATAAGACACTTCAGATGGTAATCCTGACTATTTGGAACTATCTCAAAATCCATTATCTGGCACCAAAACATCATTATGTCTCATACTTCTAATCTGTGTGCTTCCGTTGTATTTTGTACATGAAATGTGCTGGACAAATAAACTTGGCTACTTTTGTGCTTGGTGGCTATTTTGTTCATTCATGATGCATTTTTACACCTACAGAGGAAACCTTCAAGTTTGGTTTACCACATGTGAGCCTCTTCCTATCTTAGCCTTAAAAAAATAACAATCTTTTTTCAATTTCAATTTGAAGAAGTTTGGAAAAAAAAAGAATATCCAAAAGAGACAAGAACATTTATTCACTACAGTACAAAGATTGTTCAAATACAGTACATTTCCCTTTTAATGCCTTTTAAAGGTGTAACAAACAGATTTTTTATAGGTTTTTTCCCCATAAAGGAGTGTAATTTTCAAAAGTAATCAAAAGATTTGACCTTTTTGTTGATTAGTTAAAACAAAAACACAATGG